TGGTTAGGTAGGTGATGTGTGGTTGTGTGGTTGAGTAGGTGATATATGGTTGGGTAGGTGATGTGTGGTTGAGTAGGTGATGTGTAGTTGGGTAGATGATGTGTGGTTGGGTAGGTGATGTGTGGTCGGGTAGGTGATGCGCGATTGTGCTGGTGTGTGTGATGTGTGGCTGGAGAGTGTATGCATTGGTTGTAGTGTAGTTTGTAGTTAATGAGTGTGTTGTGCTGGTGTGTGTGAGTTGTGGTTAGAGTGTGTATGTATTGGTTGTAATGTAGTTTATAGTTATTTGGTGTGTGTTTTTTGAATAACATGTAGAGTGCATAGCCTTTGTTAGTCGTCAGCTGCACGTACGATGTGTTGCCCATTTAAATGCAGCAGTTAGCAATTGAATGTTTGAATATTCTTGCCCAATCACTTGTAGGTAGACATAAACTCGTAGGTTAGCTATAGACTCGTAGGTAAGCATGTGGTTTGTTTGTTTGACATGCTCATACTCCTATGGTACATACAGTGCTCTTCCATTGTGCTGCTGTGAAGTGAACCATTCCTCCAACGCAGGTGTCCGTTTGATGTGTTTGTTATGCTATTTACAATATGATATCGAGAACTACCTTTTTTATTGCAGAACTTAATTACCCATCACGTAAATACCTATTCTATTGATCACATTAGCTATCTATGACAGCCCCGTCTCTAGTGGTTGGGTTCTTTGTTAGCTTGTCACACACCTATCGCACTATCTCAATCATCTCCAATCCAGCCTACCTTCTGCATGTTCGGTGGGGCTGATATTTACTGGTATCTGTGTGTCCTATATCTGCCAGCTATATATATATATGTATGTATATGTATATATACATATATATATATATATATATATATGTGTGTGTGTGTGTATGTATGTATATATATATATATATATATACAAGTATGTATGTCTATTTATGTATATATATATATATGTATATGTATGTAAGTATGTATGTACGTATATATATATATATAATATACAATATACAGATAAGTATACATGTATATATATATACATATATATCACGGCACTTCTCATCCGTTGCTCATTTGTCTTCCCACCCCCTCGATAGGTCTGGTGATGCTGGTTGGTACGCTGGTGTTCATGTGCCGCTGTGGCAGTGGTAGTGGCTATCACATGAGTGGTCGTGTAGAGCAACCCTCCACCCGTGCGTGCATTAAAGCGTCGTCCGTAGTTCTGGCGCTTTTGACCATTGGTGCCTGTGGAGTGGCCATCTATGGAGATGTACTGGTGTGTGATTGTGGGATTGTGTGTTTGTATAATTAGGTGTTTAAGTGTAATTGTGTGTTTGTGTGTTTATGTGATTGTAAGACTGTGTGTGATTGTGATTGTTTGATTATATGTTTGTATTTTTATGTGATGGTGTGATTGTGTACTGTTTGTTGAGTTAGTGTTTGTCTTTGCGGTGGTCTTCTATTAAAGTGTACCCATTAGCTGAGCACACTTACCTACTACTCTCCTGTTCCTTTGGTGTCATCCGTCTGTGCGTGTGGCTATTTTCTCCTGTGTTTGGTGTAGTCTGTCCGTGTGTGTTTGTGTGTGATTGTGTGCTCACACACCTCTCACGACATCAAACTCTGCAGATGGCGCAGGGCATAGACCTCTTCACCAACACGTACACAAATGCCACAGATATTATTGCGGACATCGAGTCCATGGCACCGCAGGTAGAGACGGTAGCATTAGCAGCGGTAGACATACTCGAGGACGTTAGTGAGCTGTGTCCAGACACGTCAGAAACCATCGGTGGGTTGCACGTGACTGTCAATTAAAGAAATTGCATCTCTTGTGTATTCTTATTTGTATTTGTATTGGAGTATATGTCTCTCTGTGTGTAGTGTATGTGCTATGTCTGTGTGTGTGTGTATGTGGAAATATATATGCGTGTGTGTGTGTGTGTGTCTATATATACATATGTGTGTGTGTGTGTGTGTGTTTGTATGTTTGTATATATAAAAATATATATGTGTGTGTGTGTTGTATACGTGAGTAGACTACACAATTGTTCTGACTTTGTACATATAGCTCATGCATCACCTTCTCTACTGGTATGCATGAAGTGAGTACGTTAATCTACGTATACGTACAAACCTATCCACTTGGCAACAGTGCGTTGAAACACAAATCGATACGCGTTCACTTCTCCACAGACTCACCCGTCTTTGCCATTGTCTCCCTGGCGTTGTGTAGAAGGTGCCGTTGCAGTTGTTACGGCTGGGTCTGCCCAAGTAGTACAAGAGCTCAACAATGTGGTAGAGCGCGTAGGCGAGTTCTATACCAATGCCGAAGATTACCAAGATAAGGTATGCCACCTCGTACGATCCTGAATCGTGTGCGAGTGTGCGCCTGTATATATATATATATTCGTATATGTATTTATTAATATAAATATATGTATATATATATATGTGTGTGTGTGGGTGTGTATGTATTTATGTATATATATATATACATGTATATATGTCTATATATAGATCTCAGCGTCGCAATCCAACGCATCTCAGCAGATGCGTCATCGCTGCCCCCCTGTGTAGCACTACCCCTGCATGTGCTAACCTCTACCCCCTCCCATTGCCACGTGCACACACCCCCTCAGCTCAGCACCATCTGTCTCGCACAGCAAATCGTCTTGTGCGCGTTTTTTGCGTTGATGGCTCTCCTGTCTCTGGTGGTCGTGAATACCGTCTTCGTCTCTCCCGCATTACTAGAAGACACTGTCCCGTTTGAACTTTCCGACCGGTACGCCCTATTTAAGGGGTGCAGGGCGTGGCTACGGGTGTTCCTACTTCCGCTGAGTGTGATGGTGGTGGTGCTGGCGTTCGTTGCGGTGGCTGCGAGTTTCTTTGTGACTATCGGCGCAGTGGACTTCTGCATTGCACCAGACGAGTACATCTCAGCTCAACTGGCCACCAATGTGGAAGAGTAGGTGCTGCGATGCAAATGCATGGGGTGTCTTGCGTTCTACGTGCTGTTGTATATATATATATATATTTATATTTATATATATGGGTGGGTTGGTGGGTGGGTGTTGTCTATGAGTGCGCCTAGTTCAACTATTCGCGTCGTCACGCTGTTGTAATAGTGACTGTTTAATATTCACCTGTCCACGCTCACTTGCACACCAGCGTCTTGCATACCCGGTTGTGTACAATATAATATATATATATATAAGAACAACACATCACTGATCAACCCGGCACTAACTTCTCTCAACCCCCTGCCCGCTGTAGACGCTTAAGCTACTACATCCACGGGTGTGATGGCGTTAACCCCAACACGCAGCTGATCGAAGACAGTGCCCAGTGGATGGTACAGGCAGAGGATCTGCTGTGGGCACAGGTGGATGGCACTGACAATTGCCCAGCCAACGCACACGACGACTACACCGACCTTATGACACGCCTCAACCAGACGGTGGATGTGGTAGGTGGTTGCTGTCATGTGAACGTACTGATTAAGCAGACGGTGGATGTGGTAGGTGGTTGCTGTCATGTGAACGTATTGATTAAGCAGACGGTGGATGTGGTAGGTGGTTGCTGTCATGTGAACGTATTGATTAAGCAGACGGTGGATGTGGTAGATGGTTGCTGAGCCAATGGCGTGTCATGTGAACTTATTGATAGGGAATGGTACTTCCGCATCTACTATCCCGCACGTCGTGTCATGTACAAGCACACCACACCCACTCGTGTGTGTGTCTGTTTTGACTGATATGCATACAGCAGCATACACCTCTTACACCACTTATAGTAGTTTATTGTTATAAGCTGCTTACACCATTGGCGTCGTATCTTTCATCTGCAGGGACTGCAATTGGTGAACAGTGCGCGTGGCTATGTCTCCTGTCGCACGGTCAACGGAATATATTCCGAGGCTGTGCATTCGGTATGTGCTTAAGTGTGGGTTAGTTACGTGCGTAAGTGTGTTAGTTAAGTGTTCAAGTGTGTGCTAGTAAGTGTATGTGATGTATTTGAGCTGCCCATTGGTCTCCGAACGAATGTATGTCAGGTGGTCCTCTGGTTTTCATACAAAGTAGATGTAGTTTGTGTACTCACATCGCCTGTGCCCGCACGGATTGGTACTACCATCATCTCCACACCGCTTTACTCTGCGATCGACGACTTGATTTTGATATATGTCTACACAAGTATGCACTGTGTACAAACACATGCTCATATACACCTAGCTACACTGGCACACAAACATGCACTGGGCATAAACACATGCTCATATACACCACACAAGCATGAACTGTGCATAAACACATGCTCATATACACCTAGCTACACTGACGCAAAGACTCACCATCACTTTTATTATTATCCAATGGACTCCATACACTCAATCGCATAGGCTACTTACTACAAATGACAAATGGGATCATAGTTAAAAAGAGGCTCTCCCCCAAAGATCAACATACAAACGTACAACACCTTCTCATGCACATACACACAACACCTCCTCATGCATGACATCCTTCATCCACATACTCACACACAGTCCAATGACCTACCTCTGCACAGGCGGGGTGTGCGTCTGTGATGGACGGTCTGCTGTTCCTGTGGGCGGGTGCGCTGGTGTGTTCTGTGGCGTTTGCGGTGACTGTGATGGTGTACCCGAGGTATGTGACCACATCGCTGCAAGCCATGGAGGACAAATGGGAGTCCACAACGTCGGTGACGGGGCTGAAAGAAAAGACCGGTACATGTCCCGGAAGTGAGGGCTGGGACGAGGCGTGGAGAAATTTGTAGCTGGGTCGATGGTAGTACCATTGGCGGGTTAGGACGGATGTATCGATACGTGGGTGCTAGTGAGCATTGCAAGACATGTCGACAAGGAGGCATTATAGGATACAATAGTTGATCAGTACGAATACGTTTCATAGTAATTGGACAAGTATTGTAATGATTAGATAAATAAATAGGATAATAATTAGACAAAAAGTAGTACAATAATTGAACATACAAGTATCTATAGTACTTGAACAAATAAACTATTATAAAAATTGGACAAAGTAGTTTTTTGTTTTACTTGGATAACTAAAGTGGTACAATAATTGAACATACAAGTATCTATAGTACTTGAACAAATAAACTATTATAAAAATTGGACAAAGTAGTATATATAGTACTTGGATAGCTAAAGTAGTACAAAATTTTAAAAACAAATGAGTATTGTAATATAATAAATAAACAAATAATTAGACAAATAGGTGGTATAGAAAGTATCAAACAAGTATTATACTATAATAATTAGACAAATAAGTATCATAATAGTTAGACAACTAATAAGTAATACATACAATTATTAAACGAATAAGCATTATACTAAAATAATTAAACAAATAAGCATTATAATATAATAATTAGACAAATAAGTAGTATAATAGTTAGACAACGAATAGTAATACATACAATAATTAAACAAATAAGCATTATACTAAAATAATTAGACAAACAAGTATTATACTACGATAAATAGACCAATAAGTATTATAATAACTATTAGACAACTAACAAGTAATACATACAATAATTAAACAAATAAGCATTATACTATAATAATTGGACCAATAATTATACTATGATAATTAGACCAATAAGTATAAAATAATAATTAGACAACTAATAAGTAATACATACAATAATTTAACAAATATTAAAGCATTATACTATAATAATTGGACAAATAAGTATAATACTGTAATATAATTAGACCAATAAGTATTATAATAATTAGACAAAAGTACTATAATAATTTGACAACTATGTACTACAATAATTAAACAAATAAGTACTTGTAATATATTAATTGGACAAATAGCTAATTTAATAATTAGACAAAAGTATGATAATATTTAGACAACTAAGTACTACAATGAATAAACAAATAAGTATTATAATATAAAAATTAGCCAAATAATATTATAATTAGACCAACCGATGATGATTACAGTAAAAGTAGACGTACAAATACTAATATAGGTGAGAGTGTACATACGGCTGCAGATGAATAGTTGGAATATTAGAAGAACTTTATGGAAGTGTAAAAAAGAGGGTATTGAGATTACTATACAAATGCAGACCAGATAAATATTAGACACCATTCAGCACTGCTCAAGAAAATTAAGGCGGGACTTCCCAAGGAAGTGTATGAGGAGGCTCCTACCCTCCATGACTCCCTCAACCCCCCCCCACCTACGTTAATGATCGGGGGATACTAAGCGACTAGAGAGACGGGTAGTTTATGATTAGAGATATATCCAGGGTGGTGTCAACCTGTACTATTGATATAATAAGCGGCTAGAGTGACGAGTAGTTTATGATTAGAGATGTATCCAGGGTGGTGTCAACCTGTACTATTAATAAAATTAGCAGCTAGAGTGACGGGTAGTTTACAATTAGAGATGGATCGAAGGTGGTGTCAACCTCCACTATTAATATAATAAGCGGCTAGAGTGACGGGTAGTTTATGAGTAAAGATGTATCGAAGGTGGTGTCAACCTGCACTATTAATCTAGTAGACGGTTAGAGAGACGGATAGTTTATGATTAGAGATGTATCGAAGGTGGTGTCAACCTGCATTATTAATCTAGTAGACGGTTAGAGAGACGGATAGTTTATGATTAGAGATGTATCCAGGGTGGTGTCAGCGTGCGCTATTAATATAATAAGCGGCTAGAGAGATTGGTAGTTTACGGTTAGAGATGTATCCAGGGTGTTGTGAGCCTACGCTAGCCTTCTCCTGCTCTAGCCGTCTCTATTTCATTGAGATATTCCACAGATTGAGAGGTAGACATGTGGCTCACGTGGTCGATCATAACACCTTTCGAAGGGCAGGTGCAAAACCTGTCCTCCTACACCCTCGTTATAGTAGAATGAAAGTAAGTAGCTAATAAAGGAAGACTATAGTCAAAATGAAAATATCTCTGTTTAGGCGTTACACAATTCGTAGGGTAAATACGAGAGATAGATGAGTATTTCCCGGATGATGATCGATCACAATAGTTAGCTGTATGACAGAAGTAAAGATAGTTCTATCTTTCTTCTCAGGAGACAAACCTAGGGTCACCTCACTATTTAAGTTAGCTACACTATTCACTATTTAGTCATTAGAATGTAGTGTACTTAGGTTCCCAACGTGAAGTATAGGCCATGAGCACATTAGTCTAGTCTTAAGTCTCTGTTCCCTCCCTTTTGCCCGGGATCTCTGAGTCGTACTCCTATTAATAGTGACTTGACACGTGAGATATAGTTAAAGGTACCTAGTATAAAATCTACAATATAACTCATGGATCCAAAACATATTTAAATTAGTGCTCAATAGCTGAGCTGAATAAAAAAGAATCATGTGTTTATGTGAACACAAGTAATATTTGATAGCCATAAAAGGTTGGATGTAGAGTTAAGTATCATCCTGGGTTGTATTACCCTCGGGCACATGAAGCA